TTTCTAATTTATTTTTTTGAAGATATACGTTCACTCTAATGCCCGTTTCTATCTTTATATACTTATTTCTCTATTATTTATTTATTTATTTTTTTAATTTGATGCAACATAATTTCCTTTTTTAATATTAATTTTTATATTATTAACCTTTTCTTTATTTCCTTATAAAAATATTTTATTATTGAATGAATGAAAGAGTAGAAAAATAAATATTTTTTAAAAAATGTGATGTTAATTTAAAAAAAAAGAATAGCAAGAAAATAAAAATATATTTTTTTAAAAAAATGTTAGTTAGTGAGAAAATTTTTAAAATATTATAAAAAAAGAAAGAAAATTTAAGAATATTAATTTTTAGAGAGAAAAATATTTAATTTATATATTTTTTGAAAAATAAAAATATAAAAGAATAATAATGTCATTTACTTGATTAAATCTCTAACTATTCTCTCCTTTTAATATTAAACATCTAAACAAGAGAGAGGTCTAATAATCTTTTCTCCTCCCTTCTCCTATTCTCCCTTACCTTTAAAACTTTTTCACTCCCTTTCTCTTCAAACTTTCAAATAAAACTTTAGCAAAATATTCTTGCTTAAACAAATTACTCACTTAAACCTTTCTTTTTTAAAAAATTACTTGTTTAAGTGAGGTAATCTTTGTTTAAGTAAAAATCACAACAATTAGAATTTTGAAAAGTAAAACTGAAGAAGGAATGTTCCTTCTTCATTTATTTCACAAACTTTCCTCTCAAAATATACTCCTTTCTTCCCAATTATGACTCTAAACCAAAAATCACATCAAAGCAGCATTGCAACTTCAAGTACTTTCAAACATTTGTGATTTTTCTTTGTTGTTGTTGTCATCTCTTTTTATGTAAATATCTTTTCAAAACATGTTAGAATTTAATTTTATTTGAATTATATGCCCTTCATGTCTTTTTATTTTGAATTGCTTTTGTTGAAATGATTGAAATAAGTTATTAAGATTATATTGCATGTTGTCTCCTTTTCATGAATATTTGGTCTTCGGTCTAAGAAATTTACTTAAGCACAAAGAGCTCTCTTAAGCGAATTTTGGACACAAGGAGAATCATTTAGCGAGACAATTTCGCTTAAGCAAATGTTTTTGCTTAAGCGGATTGACTCACTTAAGCAAACCTTTTAAGCTTGAGCAAAAATATAAAAAATAATGTAAGCTTAGTGAACTTAATTTATTTTCAAAATGTGCATATTTCAGGATGATGCCTAAGAAGTCTATTCCTAAAAAAATGCAAAGGTCTAAGGTTAGTCAAGGTTACTAAAAATACCACAACTATGCATGCATCATGGAATGAGTGTAAGTTCAAAAACAAGGCAAAGGCTTAGAGATATATTGACCTAGAGCCAAGGGAATTGCCACATAAGCAAAAGGTGGTCTTAGACGAAGGAAAGTATCAAGAATTTATGCAAGAGATAATTAGAAGGAAATGACAATACTTGACAAATCATCCTAACCAAATTCATGAAATCATTGTGAAAGAATTTTATGCAAATACATGGTTGTTGATGCTAGACAAGATGAAGAGAAAGTCCTGGGTTGAAGGTACACAATGGCTTATGACATGAGGCTATTTCTACCCTACTAGGTAACCTATGACGTTAGCAAAAAGGGAGCTTTGTCATTCATTAACAGCAATGTAAAAAATGATTCATATGTTTTCTTGATGTATAGTAGTTGAGATCTTATGAATCCTTAAAAAATCCTTTGAGACAAAGACCATTAGGAAACCAATAAGGTTCAAGAGACAAAGTTTGAACACTTTGGCCTAAATATGGACATCTTCCTCTTTGCTAACATAGCCCTTATCATTCATACCTTAGATATTCACATGTCTTGAACATATTTCATTTACAACATCATGGAGAATATAATTGTTGACATAGTCACAATCGTTTTTAGATGAGATTCAACAATTTGTCATCTCCAACCCCTCCACTTTTGTAGCACCAACAAAACCTTTAAGATTCCCAACTCTCATCACTGCTTTGTGTGCTTCCTATGGTGTTACCATTTTTGACTACTCCAAATTAATAATCAAATTAAAGAAACTCATCAATGTCCACTTCATAAAACATTATTACACCAATCTATTAGAACATCTTATTGAACCTTTCCAACCATCCTTATCTACAACATCTACAACACAACCACCAATGTAACTATCCATGTCATATGACATCTCACTCACAATTAAATTTGATTAAGTGAATCACTATTTACCACATTTTTATCTAAATTGGCTTAAGTGAATATCTAATTCAATTAAGTGTATCATTTTTCACTTAAGCAAATCACAATATTTAAATCTTGACTTTTTATCCTAAATTTGCTTGAGATTAATTAAATTTGCTTAGAAGTATTTAAGTGAATCTCTAATCCACTTAAGTAGATATTGTTTCACTTAAGCGAATGATGATATTTTTATCCATGGCTCTCTGTCTCTAATTTGCTTGATATTAATTAAATTTGTTTATAAGCGCTTAAGAGAATATTTAAGTCACTTAAGCAAATGCTCATGTTGTTTTGCTTAAACAAGATAACCTTATGCTTTCTTGTGTCTCACTTAGGCAAGCTTTATATTGTTAAGTGAATTTTTAATAGTTTAAATAAAATTTTCTTCGCTTAAGCAAATATTGCTCAATTTCACTTAAATGAAAAAAAATCTTTCACTTAAATAAATTGGAATTAAAAAGTTATATTTGCACCAAAATTGAAGGGAATCCAAATTTAATAATTTTCAACTGAGTTTAATAAAAAGACTACAATAAAGTTTAAAAATTACTTATTACTAAGCTAGTGTATGAAGTTATTTAAAGAAAAAAAAAGTAATGTATGCATAAAAAAGCACATACCTCGTTAAATAATTTCTTAGTTATTATATAATATTTATATGATTATTTATTGAATTATATAACATAAGGTGAGCCCATTTTGAAAATTATACATTTCTTTTATTTATTTATTTATTATATATTTTAGGTATATTTAAATTTAAATAAAGTACAGAAAAAATCATAAAGTAAGATTTATTCATTACCTTCTTACAAAATTAAATATAAAAATGTAAAACATCAATCATTCAATATAATTTAACCTTCTTTCATTGGATCAAATTATATTTAATTTAAAATTATTGAAGTCGATTCAAACAAAACATATATGTTATGAATAGATTGAATAAATTTTTTATTTTTTTAAATAAAACTTAGATATAATTCTTTAAATATATTTTTTATATTATTCTTCAGTAAAATAGAATTTTATCTCGATAAAAATTTATATCTAATGTCATTATAGATTATTAAATAAAACTATACTTTTAATTAAAAAATAATTATAAAAATATTAAAAAATTATCCCTATTTTTTTTAATTTCTAAAAGTCAATCTAGTCTAAGTCACAAGCACCTCTAGTTATGGGTCAAGTTGTCAAATTTTCATTGTCAATTTCTTACCATTAGTTTCTTCTCGCTTGTCCCCTGTTTTTTCCATCTTCTTTCGTCACCAATCTTTTGGAAAATATAACTCGTTCACAAGCTTCTCAAAAAATAAATAAAAATTAAATTAGCCGTTTGATTTTAACAAATACAAGGTACTCGTGAACCCTTTAATTCAAACGTCGGGTAGCAAGTACTCGTGAACCGTGTGATTAAATAAAGTTTATAGTTTACTTAGTCAATAAATTAAAAAATTATATTTCTTTATAATTAACTTTTAAAAGATTAGTTAAAGTAGTGTCTAATTATTAAAAGTAAATTATTAATAATTTTTTTACTTTTATTTTTAACTTTTTAAAGAAGTTACACCCGTATAATAATTAACTATTAATTAACTGAATAAATAATTAAATGTTTGCTTAATTAATTGATTGGTATTAAATAAATAAGTAAAGTGAATGATATTTAATCCTAATTTCCATATAAATGACTTAATTATACTTTTTTTTAAAATTAATTAAGTAGTTCTATTTAAAAAAATTACAAATTTAAAGTATGTTTGATTTACTTTTTAAAAATAGTTTTTAGTTTTTAAAAATAAATTGTAGTACAAATTTGTTTTTGGAATAGTTCATGGCTACTTAGTTGGAGTTTTGACCTAAAGAATAATGAAATAATGAAAACTAACAAGTAACAAAGAGGAAGATGAAAAGAAACAAACAAGTGATTTCTTTTAAGAATTTTGAAGTCCTATAATGAGAACAAAAAGAAGAAAAATAGAAAAAAAAAAAAACCTATATTAGATTGCAAAAATTATGTTTAAGACACTTAAGAATGTGAAAGAGAAGAATTGAAAATAACTCTTATATTTTAACCGATGATCGTAAATATTAAGGTCAAATTCAATTTATGTTAGTTTAATCCTTATTTTTATCTGTATTTTGGACAAAAATTTTCTATTTTAATTAAGTAGTTTATTATATTTTAGATTAGTGGAATACATTAATTATTAAGTCTCTTTTGAGTTTTATATTTTATTATGTTTAGTGAGTTATTTATTAAAAATTTTACTTAAAAATTATTATTATTTAACTTGATTCATTACTAAAGCATTTTGTGTTTAATTTTTTATTATAAATACTTAGAGAGTTTATTTGTCTTTTGAATTTATTGAAAAAAATTATTGCTCAGATCTTATATATAATTTTACATTAAGCTTGAATTGAGTTTGTGACTTTTAAAATTTTTCTTATTTATTGTAGTTAAATTTTAATTTTTGTTTAAATTAATTCATAATCATAGCAAGATTTATAAGTTACAAGTTGTCATTCTCTAACTAATTTTATCAAACAAGACTTTATACGGTCAACTACAAATTCACAATTTATAAATGGATATTTTGTATCATTGTTATTAAAATTTTAAATTAAATAATAATATAATGATAACTTTTGACGATATTAATTAGTCTTCGCTAAAAATATGTAACAAAATATTTACATATTATTATTTGATTTAAAACTGATAACATAAATATAAGAAACTTAATTGAAATTTAGTTTTGTACAAAACAACATTGAAACAAGGTAAACATCACAAATATGCATTACTTAACAAAATGCATAATTTTATTTTAAAATAGTTAATTTGATAACAAAAGGTTATTTTCAGCTAAAATGACTATAAACTTGTACGAAGTGGCAAGTACGGTGCTCTGTTCAACCTATTTTCCTTCTCGAAGAAAGAAAAAACGGGACAGAACAGTTACTAAAACTGTTTTATGGTTTAAATTCAAAATCAATTAATCATAGGAACCCTTTTGCTTTAATCACCTCTTCCAAAGCCTTTTTGTTTTGATAAGTAAAACATGTTCTTCGGATTTGGAGCGAAAGAAAGGAATCAAAGACAAAATTACCTTAAAATGCGCGCATATTGTGTGAAATTTTTAAGAAATAAATATTTTTAATCATTGCTTTTATATAGCCTGCAACTTTCGCATAATGAGACTAACAAGAACCAAAATTAACAAAATTACAAATCTTGACAATGGTCGATTTTAATTATATAACAATTAAATCCCAAAAGGTATTAATGATTTAGATTTAGTATAAATATTTAAAAAATATCATTGAAAAATATAAAAAGTCAAAAAATTAAAAAATCTTGATTCTGAGTGGGAGCGTAATTAAAATCGTCAACCCACACCGTTTTATTATTCTCCCCATTACCGTTCTTTTCTTCGACCTTTTCAATTTTCTCTGCGCCATCATCGCTCTTAGGAAAAAAGAGCTCGTCCACGAACAATTCCACGTCGTTTTTGCTAAACCCCACTTTGTTCTCAACCTCATTTTGAGGAATATAAGGTGGCCTTGCAATTTGCAACACCGTGTCCCACTTAACCCCTTTGAAGAAATCGTGACCCTTGATTTCCTCCACCTCAATCCGACGGTCAGGATCTTTTTCCAGCAATCTCCCAATCAAATCCCTTAGCGCCGTCTTCTCCCCGGTTAACTCCGGCTCCTTCGTCAAAATCCGGTAAAACGTTTCCTTCCGATTCTCACCCTTAAACGGCGTCGTTCCGTATAGCATCTCGTACAAAACGACGCCGAGTGACCACCAATCAACGCCGAAACCGTGACCCTTCCCTGAGACAATTTCAGGTGCCACGTACTCTTCCGTTCCAACGAACGAGTTCGATTTTTCCACTGAGTCAGACTCAGTACGACGCGCTGAGTCAATACCGAGTTGAGGCTCGGAGTCAGAGTCACAAGGCGAAATGCCCGAGTTACAGAAACTGTAGAACCGAGATAACCGTCGCTTCCCCGTGTGTTTCTGCGAGTTAGGACTCGGCGACGAGTTGCGATTCAGCCATTGAAGGGATTTAGGGTTTAGCTTCTTGGAGAGATCGAAATCAACGAGCATTACGTGACCATTTTCTTGAATCATCACATTCTCTGGTTTCAAATCCCTGTACACTATTCCTAAACTGTGCAAATACTCCAATGCGAGGGTCAATTCCACAGCGTAGAACCTTCAAAATAGTCGGAAGAAAAAAACAATCAGAGTCTTTTTATTTTTCTTTGCTTTGTTTGGTCGTTAAGAAAATTACTTTTGTTCTTTTCTCATTTTTAGGAATGTAAAAAACTTGACCAATTCTACTTTTCACATGAAAACATATCAGCAGTTTGACTTATTTTTCCTGAATATTTCACACTAACCAAATAGGAAAGAAAAATAAATTACAAGGTGTCTGGAGGACGGTACGATGATATATACATGCATTCAGAACCAGTCCTGTTAGGTTAATAATACGAAAAATAAACTTAAACTTTTTATTCAATTTTAATTGAAAAACTTGAAAACATGTAACGAGCGATTTGTTCAATTTCCTATATTCTCCACATAAAACGAATAAAACTTCGAAATTTTCGTTTGCCAAGCTTTCTGGATGACCAAACAGGGAGAGTAGAAAAAATTACTAGTTCCCATCAAAATCTACAAGATTATCTTTTTCCCAAACTCTCGGTAACCAAACAGTGTGAAAAGAAAATGTGTTAATTTTAAAGAAAAATACCTGATGGTATCATCGGAGAACATTTTCTCAGTCTGTTTCTTCCTGAGAGAATGGAGGGTGCCACCGGGGCAGTAATCAATGGCGAACCCAACAACACCGTTAGTTTCCAAAACCCCTCGTAGCCGCGGCAAAAGGGGGTGATCGAAACGACTTAGCACTTCCTCCTCGAACGACACCCTCGTGTACTCGTCATCGTCGTTTTTGTGGTTCTTTAACTTCTTCTGAAGAATCAGGGCTTTGGATATCACTTTTAGAGCCAAGCACTCGTTCGAAGACCGGTCACCGGTTCTCGCGAGGAACACGACGCCCTTTGCGCCGCGTCCCAGGGCGGAGATAACTTTCAGGTTGTCGAAATTCAGTGATCGTGAAGTGTCGTCTTGGCGGCCGTCGCCGTCGTTCATGATGCAGCTGACCGGGTACCGGGAGAGAAATGGGCAGAGTTTTAAGCTGAATTTTGTTGCGTTGAGAGGTGTTTTAATTTATAAGGTGTGCGCGTGCTTGGTGGGTGGGTACTTCCTTTCTTGTTGGGCAAGAACTCAACGTGAGGGAACTGTGAAGGGTTCATTTATATGAGTTGAATTACGTAGTCTTTGTGACACGTGTACAAAACGACGTCATTATTGACGTTTTTGTGTGAAGCAAGAAAGAGCGTTCCGAGAGAGAGAGAGAGAGTGGGAACATGACCAAACGACAGTTAATGGTGGGGTTGAGAAATGCGTGTGATTCTAGAGGCACAACGAGTGAAGAGCATGGAATGTTCAAAATCAAACATATAATAATAATAAAAAGGAATAAAACGTGACCTTATGCCCTATGCTTTTATAAAGCTATGGGTTATTTGTTTATTAAATATTGAGCGAAATCTAAGGTAAAATGCAATTTGTCTGCTTTTTCAATTTCACCGTATAGGAAAAGGTCTTTTGCTTCGTAGCCAAGTAAAACAATAGGAAGGTTCCCTGTTTTTCTTCTAACTATTAAAATAAAAGATGAGTTCACACCACAGCAATTGTTGTAAATTTTGACAGCTTATGCTTCTCACTGTTCAGGTGTTAATTAGCTTAGCATTTATATCCTTCAATTAATGCTTGTGGAACGTGACGAGCCCATTTAAACAAAACAAGTGCATTCCTATGAATAAAGGAGACTACACTCTATAAAGTATGTTGCCTAACTTGTACTGTTATTCTACCAAAATCTTCTATTAACTTTGACATTTTATTATTATTATTATTATTATTATTATCCACTGCTTCAAAACAATATCTCAATATCTCAACCATCTAAGGTTCAACACCAATACACACATAATGGGTGCAAGTGTAAACAACTTGAGTCTACTACTTGACACCTAAGTTGGGAATGTTTAAATTTGACTCATTTATTTAAATAAGTTAAATTTAAAGTTTGCGTTTGACTCAAATTTATTTATTATTTATTTTTTTAATTAACAAAGTTTGAACAAAGTTTTATTATTAATTTAATAATTAATAAATATCTTTACATGGTAATAGACTGTCTACAATGTTAACAAACAAACAATAAAATTATTAAAATACTTTAAATAAAAATAGTAATAAGTGTACTAATAATGCAGAAATACAATAAATGCATCTAGCACCCAAGTTGTCATTACTTATTTACTTATTTAAAAATTTTAAATATAAGAAAATTTAATCAGTTCAATTTGTAACGATTGAATAAAAAAAAATGGAAATTTTACGAGTTTTAGGTAAAGAAAAACCACAATCATATATCATTCAAAGTAGAGAAACTTAAAACGTTACTAAACCAAAATTATATCAGGGTATATATATTCTTAAAAGAGAAGACGTTAGACCATATGTTGATGACGCTTCATATTCATTAAAATGCTATTGAAAATAAGAATTTGCTTAAAAAAAATTTATGATTCATTTTGTTTTGTATAATTAATATTCCTTGAAAGACTATCGTGAATAAATTTTATTTGAAGGATTAGATTAACTCCATTTGAAATAAGTTATGAAAATTTTAACTTATTTCACTAAGTTATTCAATGGACTTATTAGAATAATAAGTTATTTTCAGTTAACTCTAGAAAATTTTATGATTAAACATTTTATATAAGTATAGAAAGAAATTATTGAATATGCACTTAATTATGTTGTGTTTCGAGATGTACCCATAAAAAGTAAAAACATTAATTTTTTCTACATGAACTCATCCTTTTTTTAAATATTAATGAATTGTCATTAAGTATTTAACCTCAATTATTTTTATGATATATTAAATAATCCATGCAATAAAAATATTCATACATTTATTTATGATATCTATGATTCTTCCTAAATTTGTCTGCAAGGATATTGATAATATTTGTAAAAGATTTGTTTGGAATTTTTTGGGGTGTAGGAAGTGCCACTTAATTAGCTGAGATACAATCTGCAAACCAAAGCAGGAAGGAGGTCTAGGCTTTAGGAATATTAGGTTTGTTAACCAAACCTATATGATGAAAATTTGGTGGAGACTCATGAATTTCCCTAGTGACTTGTGGGCTCAGGTCCTATTTAGTAAATATAAGTTTAATTATGGCAAAAATCCTTGTTTTAGAGTTAATAACAATCAGTCTCATTCAAGAAAAAGTCTGCTGGCTATCTGGCACACTTACAATAAAGGCTTAAGTTGGGTTATAGGTGACAATTTGACTATTAAGTTTTGGGAGGATTCTTATGTCCAAAACTGCCAAAATCTCTTTAGTTATACTCTTCAACCTATCTTTGATCATGATTTAAATGCCCCTGCTGCCATGTTTACCTCTCATGATAATTGGAATTGGTCTAAAATTAGGTTGATGCTCCCTACCTCTTTTTATGATTCTATTTCTAAAATTTTCTCCCCTCTCCCCTCCATGTCGGAGCAGGGGTCAAGACCTTTTTTTTCTTTTTTTTTTTCTAGAAAGCTTCTGATAATGACATTTTTTCTATCAAATTGGCCTATAAGTTTATGGCTGCCCCAAGTGGTGTAGGGGAGGAGTTTAGGCACCCTACTATTTTTAATCTGGTTTGGAATTAGAGAGGTCCCCTTAAAATTTTAACTTTGCTTTGGAAGTGGCTCATGTGAGGCTGCTCACTAATACTGAGAGGTGCAGTAGGGAAATGACAAACATCCTTGATTGTCTTAGGTGTGGGGAAGATGTTGAATCAGTCATACATGTCCTCAGGGACTATTGGACTGCGAAAGAAGTTGAGAGAAAATTGTTCATCCTAATATGTGGTCTCATTTTTTCAGTATAGGTTTTTTTAATTGGCTGATCTATAACCTGTCCACTTAGAATGTTAGAAAGGTTCCCCATTTGAATATTTTGTTTGGCATGACTATATGAAATTTATGGAAGAACATAAACAATTTTCTTTTCCAGAATTTCGTTGTTAATTCTGAATCTGTTTTGTAGAAAACCTTATGTGATTTTGATTTTTTTCTTTCTTATGACAGGACAAATCAGGGTGCCAATGCTACTACTTTGAGTGGTGAGAACAGAATCAAATGGTAATCTCCTCTTGAGTAGCAATTTAAACTTAATATGGATGGAGTCACATCTAACCTTTCTGAGTTTGCCAGCTGTCGGGGCCTCATTTGAGACATGAAATGAATGCTTGTAGCTGGGTTCTACAGTGCTCTGGATACTTACTCTCTTTTAGATGTTGAATTGTGGGGAGTCTATTGGGGGCTGATGTTAGTGATTATGAAAGAGTTTTAGCTTATTTGGATCAAATACAACTCTAAAGAGGCTATCGCCCTAATTGTTAAAGGTCCTAACTATAATCATCATTTGTTCTCTATTATTAGTGACATTAAGAATCTATTATTGAGGATTCGATTTATTACATTTACTCATGTTCTTAAATAAGCTAATCAATATGCAGATTGATTTGCCAAGTTTAGGGCAGATTGTAAGATACCTTTTTGATGTTTTGATAAGGCTCCTTCTACTTTACTTCCTCTTTTAACTCTAGATACATTGGGTACCTGATATTTTAAGGATAACTGTTAGTTCTTTGTCTGTCTTTAGACTTTTTTAGCCTCGTTTATTAAAAAAAGAAAAAAGAACAGAACATAAAAACGAATAGAAATAACAAGAAAATGGTCACTTTACTTTATTCAAATCCACCTTAGCCCATTACATAATACGACAGACTCTTAACATGGGATATGACATATGCAATGTTCTACTACAAATATCTTATACTTGGCACTCCTTAAAAATCTTCGTATAGGTTTTGGTCACATATTCTTGCCTTCACCACTTTCAATGCCTTTGTTTTCTTTGGCACACATATATATAAAATATTCAATATTATAAAATACCTTAATCTCAAAAATTTATTCAAAGGCTAAAAAAATTGTAAACATAGGAAGTAAATAGAATTACTTATGAAATAAGTGAACTAAATTTATCTAAATTGACATCATTTAAACTAAACAAATATTGTAAGAATTTTTAGCTTGAAATTTAGATTTTATAACTTTAAATAAATGAAATTAAATATAAAAAAATTATTAAAAATATCTATGAAATTATGAAAAAAAATAGCTTACAAAACTCAATATTTAAAAAATCTAGACTTAGCTTACATACATATTTTGTTAAACTTAACTACATGTCTTTTTTTCTATTTTTTAAAATTTTGAGTTTACTTTCAAGAGTTTAATTTCTTAAATTTATGGTTGTTTTGTATAAGTAAGATAAAATGTATATATTGTAATTTAAAAACAAAAAGTATACATTAAAAAGTTAAAATTAAAGATGATACTTATAAGTTTTAAAGTCTAAATATTTAAAATCAATTTTATAAAATAATAAAAAAATTAATGAAAATATTACTCATAAAATAGAAGTAGAATAATTAAAATAGAGAAAAATATAAAAAATTATTCATAAAGTATCTATTAAATTAAAAAAAATGTTATAATATAATATTACTAGTTTTTTTTTACAAATATCTCTAAAAATTTTATTTTATTTTTTTATAAAACTCACTAGTGTGTATGATGCATGTAGCTGACACTTGATAAATAAGATAAAACTTGATAATTATTCTATAGTTATTAATTTATATTAAGTGTTGATATTTAATTAAATATTTTTTTTACCCTGTACTCTGTACAGGAAAAATATTATTTTAAAATTATTATTGATATGTACGATTTGTAATTATAACGTTAAGTTAAAATAATATATAAAAAATTATTTTTAAGTAAATTTTTCATATATATATATATATATATATATATATATATATATATAATACATGTACATTATAGTACTTATTAATATAATATAAATTATCGGTACATTAAACAGATAGCATTTGAAGTAACGAAATAAAGTATGATATAAAATGTGGAATCGTGCAGTTAAATTTTCAAAAGCCATTAATTGTGGCTGTTAGTATAGTTTGTTGGTGCTCTTATTGCTTTGGGTTTTAGTTTTAATAAACTTTTCTTTTTCACGATATTGTTTTGGTTAGTTTTTATTAGTTATATATACTTAAGACATTT